GGCTCCCGCGGAGCCCGAGCAGCGGCGAGGTCAACGGGCAGGCGGTGCCCTGAGGTAGGAGGGGGAGTCACTGCTGCGCGCGGCCCGGGCTTCCCCCGGGGCGCCTCGGGCAGCCGGGCCGGGGAAGGCGGCGGGGAGGCCTGGGCGCAGACATTGTCACTGTGCGGTGCTCGGAGGTTACAGCCCGCAAAATAAGACAGTTTGTTAATTCAGCTGGGTCAGATGAAATTGAGGCAAAATTGTCTCTCAGCAGCATCCCGGAGGGGCTGCGGTCTGTCACTGTATGACTCCGGGGGTGTGGTTATACAGATTGGCAGACAACAGGATCTCTGTGCAAGATCCCATTTGCCTGTGGCTTTGTAGTTAAGAGCTGGTGTTCTGTGGAACCAGCAGGTGAGAGCTGCTCTGGGCCATCCAATTTGAAAATTAGAAGTAGCTTAAGTTGAGTTAGGCCTGGTAAACTAATACGCAGTTAGCAGAGCACATCTACCGCAAGACTATGCAGCTTCGTGCTATTCAGTCTTGCTCAGGTATCCATGCTACACACTGTATGCGTGTTTATGGAAGGAGAATAGCTATTCCTACAGGTGCTTAGTTTCACTGTTATGGTAAGGCACCTGCCTAGCAGGTTAGCTGCCTCTTTATGTGGTTTCATGTATGCAGCTGTCACGATCTGATAATCAAATATGTGAAGATCCTTTGGGATCCCACCAGGGCAAAGTTAAGATAATACAATATTGGATGCAAAAATAGGCGTTTATTTAGGTACAGATCAGCTGGAAGAGTTACAACTATATTTTTGTGATAAGCTCATAATAAATACAATGACTAACCCTAAAATACAAAAGAGAAAGATCAGGAAAGGAAACAAAGAGTTATAGTAAAGTCAAAGCAAAGTCACCACCCTGAGCTCCAGCAGCATCCCGTTGGTCTCATAGAAGGGGAAGTGGAGGTCTGGTCCTAGGAGGCATCTTGAGACTGGCACTCTTCTCTTCTGTGTAGTTAATTCCTTAGATACGCCATGGCAGTTACCCAATTACCGTTCCGTATTTGTAGCTTCTGACCGGAGTTGGCATAAATTCTATCTTTTGCTAAAGATGACAGCTCATTTGTAAAGCTCCCTGATTAGCACTTGCCTGAGGTATTTGCCATACTGCTGACACATCACAGGGTAGGGCAGGGGAGGGGGGGGCTTGCTGTTATCAGTGGAGTAAAACCGGTTCCTTGTCTCCTGGAGATGTCTCTTTGTCAGGCTCTCTGAGGAAATTGCCTCAATAAACACTGCATACCTTTTGGTTGCCTTGAGACAAACACCAAACACCCTAAGTGTCTGAAACACTGTTTATCTTTTGTATTGTTTGAGACAAATACCATATATCCTGAGCATCACAGCAGCAGAGGACATTCTTATTGTTCTAATAGTAAAACATACCCATCAGACCTCCTTTTCTATCTGCTCTTGCTGAACTTTGTAACATCTGATCATTTTACATATGTTGAATTCCTTGAGTGAGTCAAGAAAATCTTGAAATAACTAATGTCACATGCACATCTATTTCACACTTTTTGTAGAGCTATTATCTTAGTGTCTCACCACAAAGATCCTCTGTTAACTAAAAGCACAAGTTCTAGTTGATGGAAAGAGATCAGCCAAATTTTACAATGAAAAGATCTTCAATTAAATAAGTTCTGTCCTATTGTCCTTAAGTATGTACAATACTGTATGCCCTGGTTATGCTCCCCACACCTTACTATAGCTGGTCTCCCAACAATTTGGAGTGTTTATGTACAGATATTTCACTTTTTGGATATAATTTCAAGACTGACACTTTCTTACAACTCTATTTTGTAAGAGAAAAAGAGTTTTGAAAAATTGAAGTTAGGAAAAGCTGACAGTAGTAAGGTTTTGTATTTGTTTTCAGAATAGTTTTGATTGTCAGACATTTCATACCCATAATTCCTACATCCATTATTTAAGAAAAAATGAATATGTTCTCAAAAAACCCAACATTTAAGCAAGTATGTTAAAGAGATCAAATAGTATTCAATTAACTGAAGAAGTAAGAGTGCCAAGATTGGTATACGCCTGCATGTGGTTTCCTCATGTTTTTCTTTGTGGTCTATGACAAAGCAGAAAAGCAAAGAAGTGTCATCCTTATGAAATTATGGCTTATAAGGAATGCATATTTTCTAAAACTTTTAGCAAACACTGAAGAAACAATAAATTTTGAGGAGCTCTTGAGTAGTTTACATATTCAAAAAATATGAGGAAATGTTGATTTTTATCCTCCCTGGATTTGCAAAGTCTTACAGCTCTTCTTTCAGACTGCTTAGCCCTATTTTTTGGGAAATAAATACCAGTGCAACCTTTCGTTAAGGAAGTGTCAGTTATTGAGTCTTTAAACTGGTGAATGATGAGCAGGGTGAATTGATGGCACCAATTTCAACATAATATATTTAGCATAGAGCATTTTTGCAGTTATTGATTGAACTGAATTTTTTTTTTTTTCTATAAAACATGTCTATCCTCGCTGTGCCATTAGTTTTTTTGAATAATACTGAATTTACTGTTCTGGTTAGGTTTATTTCTTTCTCATTTTTCGTAGCCATTTATGCCATATTCATCATAAGCATTATTAAAAATAAACAATAAGTAGATTAAACAATGTTATGTTTCAAAGTTGGTAGAATCTAATTTTTGAAATATTGATGATAAAGGCTAGAGAGAACTCCAGAGAAAAGACTAATCCAATATTTTCAATCTCTTCTGCCTTTTTTCAGCTACTGCATTGACTTCCCAATATATGAGAAGTCACTGTGGCCTACAGCAACCAGGAGGTAAGCAGTAGAACAAACCTTTGCACCGTTTTCTGATTAGATTTTTGTCATTTTCCAGGTTGTTTACTGTCCTTTATAAATTCAAATATTCTAATCAAAAGGAAAGGATATTTAATACAAGAGTTTAATATCTTAGAAACAAATATCCAGAAATGGATGGTCGTATTATCAAAATATAACAGTTGTTTGTTGTGTTTTAAATATTAGAAATAATGATTTTGTTACTATAAGATGTTAATCCTAAAAGGTCTTGTTCAAAGGGCATCCAGTTGTGTTTTGCTTAAAAATTCCACATTGAGAGGTGGGGCAGGAAAGAAAGATATTAAAATTAATATAGGGGTTTCATCTGTATCCTGATGTACACTGTTAGTGTCACAAATTCCTTAAGTATGCATTATCAAATTTTAACATAAAGAAAAAAATATTTTACTATAGTCTCCTTGTTTGTTGTAGACCAAAATGTGAACGCAATGTTAATCAGTATTACAAAATCAATACAGTTATTAGAATCATCTTGTGTGGTTCAGTGGCCAGACTCCTTTATATCAGTTGACATTAGATTGATTGGACTAATAATATCTGATAAGTTTTATTTCAATTTTTGTTGCAGGAAAAAATTGTGAATTCAGTATGGCACCCATTTTAGATTGGAGGAAGCTTATGAAAATTGATCCAGATGCTTTGCCTCATCAAGAAAAGCTTGCAGACAGATTGCTGGAGACCATATCCAAGGTACTCAAGGGGAAAAGAGAACATAAGTTTTTTATTGTGCTGTCTTTGGTCCTCCACATACCTAGATTATTTATTTTGTGCATTTTTATAAAAAGATATTTGTATAAAAACACTTGTCTCTTTTCTCTAGGTTGATGGGAAAGACTTAAAAACTGAAAGTCGAGAACAATTGATCCACCTTTTTAAAATTACTCAGTCACTAATGAAGGTTTGTATTAATTCTCACTTTCAGTAATTCTACAAATGCATTTATTTATTTCCTTTTTGTTTGAATGAAAGGCTCATTGCTGCATTTTCTTTTTTTTTTTTTTTTTTTCCATTTTCCTGCACTGAGCACACTGGTTATGCCTAAGAGCATTTCTATGCTACATGTGTGCTTGCACGAGAGTATCTGCTTGTAGCTGTTGGGATTACAGCATGTATCAGTGGGAACTAAAGTGGATAGAACTAACATAGTAACCTTAGTTTTACAGAGGGAAAATGCAAACAAATATCTCAAAAATTGTTTAGGTATTTTAATGCTTTTAACTTTAATACAAATTTTTGTAGTAGTTGATGGTTTAGTTTAAATAGAAACATCATCATGAATGAAGAAGTGCTGCTGTCCTAAAGCTGATTCTATAAATCTATCATAGCTTCTGGTATTTACTCATAAATGTACTGGAAACACATTTACACATTTGTTTTAGACAGGGTTTTTTTACTGTTTTTAGTACTCAGCAGTATGCGTGTCAATGTTTAGATAGCACTGTAGAATACAGAAGATGATATTTCAACAATCTGAACTTCTTAATTGTCAACATGGAGAAAAATAGGAGTGGCTTAATTGGTTTAAAGAGAGAAAAATCAGTGCTCTTTTGTAAATATTTCTTTTTTAGCAGGAATTCTATGGAATAATTTTTCATTTACATTAGTAGTAAAGAGTTGTTCTTTCTTGTTGTGTGCTTTTTTCCCCAGATGAAAGCTGAAGAGGTAGAGCTGGCATTAGAAGAAGTTGAAAAAGCTGGGGAAGAGCAAGCCAAATGTGGTAAGTAAACCTTTTTATGCTGTTCCTAAATGATATGTTAAATGTATTTATTTTTGTTTTGTTTCTTTTTATGTTGTTGTGTTTTGTTGTTGTCATTGATTTTGTCCTTGGTTTAAGTTTAGGGAAATGAATGAAATACCAACTGTTCTGAAATCAATTGCTTCAGTGAAGTAAAATATTTTAAGATTAAGGTTAACCATTGTTGTTTTATCTACTTTTTACCTTATTGAGTAATTCATAATATCTGCTCTATTTTAACAGAAAATCAATTTAAAACAAAGGTGATGAAGCTTCAAAATGAATTAGAGGTATGTTTTAAAATGTTGTTATTTGAGAGTGCTGTTTGATGGGGCTTTTAAATGAGGTTTTATAGACTAGTAGTTCACTCTAGTAAAAAGATATAATACACCTACATTTTAGCTAGTAGTTTTTATTGGCTTTCAAATATTCACCAGCCTTAGGTTTGCAAAGATGTTGTACGTGCAATTAAATTTTTATGCTTGAGTAAATCACATTTATTTATAAAGGTTTTTGGGTTTTGTTGAAAGAAGCTAGTGAGCACTTCTGGTTTTTTTCCTGAACATTAGAAATGTTAGTCATTGCATCTATTTTTTTTATTAGTTCTTTCTATTTTAAAGAACTGTGCTATATTTATAATTATTTTTATGCTTTTAAGATGGCACAAAGGTCTGCTGGTGGTCGGGATACTCGTTTTTTACGTGATGAGATCTGTCAACTGGAAAAGCAATTAGAACAAAAAGAGAGACAATTAACAGATACAGAAAAAGAACTAGAAAAAGAGAAGAAGGTGAATGAACAGGTAAGAAGGACTTCAGCTTGGTATCTCTAAAATGTGTTCTGGCACATCTTTTGAAAAGTTCTGAAAAGACCCTCTGAAATTAAAAAAAACCCCACATTGATGGAATAAGACCATTACTTTTATATTCAGTTTGTTTCTGGAGGTCTTTGTTTTCATGGTTTGTAGTGTTAGTGATATCTATGAAGGTTTTTCATCTTGTTCTAGCTTGCTCTTCGGAATGAAGCTGCTGAAAATGAAAACATCAAATTAAGGAGAGAGGTTGGTAAAAATTATTTCTGATTTACTGTATCTTTGTTTAAAAATATTAGTGCTTTGTATTTATAATCTTTGATGTGGCATGATGTTTAATTCTGTTTTAGAACATTTCCTAGTTACTGGTACAAAGAGAATAAGGAATTTTAATCACATTTATCAAACATCTTTATAGTACAGCTACTCCAATTAAGCTTAGTTAATTGAGGTCAGGTGGTGTCTACATTTGAATTTGCATGGTCCTTGTCTGGAGTTTGTGTTTTGAATTGTTAGTATTTTACTTTAATACTGTTGAAAAATAGATTTGATGGATATTAAACAGGGCTTGCTGCTATTGCTAAGTTTGTCTCATTGGTCAAAACAAAATTAAAAAAAGTCAAGAGTTAATATAGTGATCAATGAAACAATAGAGTTAGCATTTTTTATTACTAGAATTAAAAAAAATAATTATCTTGAAGCATTTATTCTAGCTGGTTTTAGGAAAAAAAAAAGCAAGGGTGTTTTATGGCATTTAATACCTATAATCTTAGCATCTGAGAGAATAAAACAGACAGCGAAAGCTAAATTAAGGTTCTGGGGGGAAACCTCGAGAATTACACCTCAAAATACCCTTTTACTTATGTGTGTGTATGAGAAGCAATTTTATTTTGTCTTTATGTTGACTCCTATTTAGTCTTCCTAAAGCAAAGATGATTTTTAATATTTTTCATGCTTTGTTCTTGTGGTCTTGTTCCTTCCTTTTTAATCCGAAGACAAAACACATAAAGAAAAAGGTGAGGTTTCTAAGTTTTCTAAAAGCAGACTGTAGGAATTTGGACGTTTTTTGGCTGTCTTAGCTCTTTGTGTTAGCTTGCTAGAAAAGCAACAAGTTTTTGTCTCCAGCTTTTCTAAACAGATTCATGTTTGGTTGCTTTTTTTGCAGAATGAGCAATTGCGCCAAGATGTAGTTGACTATCAGAGGCAAATAGATTCTCAAAAAGAAACAATTCTATCACGAAGAGGAGAGGAGTCTGACTACAGATCACAGTTGTCCAAAAAGAACTTTGAGCTTGCCCAGTATTTGGATGATATTCAGGTAAAACCTATGTGTACTATTGAGTATTTATTAGATTGTTACTGACAATAGTGTTTTCCACAAATTTATGTCCATTTAATGATCAAGTCAGGTGGAGTAAGGGAGTTCGTTATGCAGGTAGGTTCTGTGATGCATACAGTCTGCATCCATCAATCTGGCAGAGGTAATGAAGATACTGGAATTGGAAATATGTCTTTTATTTGCTGTTAGGATTTGTTGAATTTGATAATCTACAGGTGAAATACTCTCTCCTGTGCTGATTTATACTTTCAAGTCTTACATTTAAGGTAGCTATAAATTACCACTTATTCGGGTATTAAGATATGCACTATTTAAATGCAGCTTTTTCTTGAGTTTTGCAGAATTTGACTGAAGCTAATGAGAAGTTAGATATTCAAACCCAAGAAATGAGAAAGAATCTTGAGGAATCAGTGCAAGAAATGGAGAAGATGACTGATGAATATAACAAAATGAAACTAATTGTGCAACAGTCTGATATTGTTATGGATCATTTAAGAAAAGAGAAAGAGCAGTACAAATTACAAGTAAGAACTGACTTTTATAATATTGAATGTAATTTTTTCTTTTAGGTTTATACTCTATTGTCATAGCTTAAATTAAAAAACACTCAGCATGTTGAGGTGAAAACACACACTGCTGAGAAGTAGGGTGATCTTTCAATTTGATACAAATTTTAGACCTTGACTGCAGATCACTTTTTTTTTTTGTACAAAATGTTAGCTATACTCTGATGTTAAGAGCTGTGACCTTCCCTTGCTGCTGCAGTACTAATCTGTTATGTTTTATGTGTTTGATGTAATGTATTTATACGTATACATTGGCTAAGCAAAACAGGTTTGTGATGTCATGTTCATCAAAATGGCATTTCTAGGTTCAAGAGCTTTCAGACCAGCTGAAGGCAAAGAATGAGGAAGATGATCCACTCATGGCAGCTCTAAATGCAAAAGTAGAAGAATGGAAGGTACTTTTTAAGTACATTTATATTCTTTTTGGGAATTATTTCAAGTGTTCTGATGGTATTTTGTATTCTTTTCAGAAAATTTTAGCTTCAAAAGATGATGAAATCCTAGAGTATCAGCAAATGTTGTTTAACTTGAAAGAGAAATTGAAAATGGCTCAACTTGATGCAGACAAAAACAGTATAATGGCCCTTCAGCAGGTACAGTCTGTGTGAAAAATTTCTGTAATAGAAAATACCATTCAATAACTATGCTAGTGACCAAATAATTATTTAGTCTTTTATAGTTAGCAAATACCAGAATCTGTGTTATTTATGTTGCAGAATTATGAGACAGGCTGATTGATTCAACTACAAAGTTAGCTTAATAGACAATGGACAAAGGGAACTTCTCTTGCTTGATGTATAAGCTGAGTTCTTGGTAGCTGGTTCTGTTACTTTCATATTAATATTTTCTAACTATTAGCAGAGTGATTGCATTAACGCATAATCATCCATATTTTCATGTTTTTAAATTCTAGCTTAGTTTCTGTCCTACACATTGGTTGGTCATGGAAGAGTCTTAACTAATGTTTAATTTTCTTGTTCCTTTGTCTCACCTGATAGCATACTATTAAGTCCGTGGTTCAGCCCATGATAGAATTAGTTGAATTTACGTATCTGTCATATTCATGCAAAATTACATGGTTCTTTATGATTTTGAATTTCCTAGCTTTCTTGAAAAACATATAAAAGAATAAAGCACGCGACTCCTTAGAAACCGTGAAATACACACTAAGGGAAGCATACTGTATGATACTAGAATGGTATCCTGCCTTGCTTTGAGGTTTTTGAATAGATGTGTCATGACATTTGTGTTAGATGTTGGGCCCTTGTTGACTGAGCAGTATGGTGAGATATATTTATTCAGTCTTCCAAAACTAGGAAACAGCTTATCAGGTGAAAAAAATACTTAACTAGAGTTCAGTTTTTGATGATCAGAAGAGGAAGGTAGCTGAAAGTAACTTTGGTAAGCAGTTGTAGAGTCTGCTTTTAGCTGACTAGATGGGTGGAGAGGTTGCTTTTTTGGGTGACTGTCATTAGCATGACATTTTGAACAGTTTTGTGGAAATAAGCATATTTTTAAGATAGACACTTAAAAATTAAATCAAATTACTGCACTGTGTTTTAACTCAAAATGGATTGAGCTTGTTATGGTTCAGTGTATGTTTATGTTCTGAGGGTTGTTTAGCTCCTTACAACTTTGCTAAGCTCTTTTAATCTAGATTTGAAATGTGGTTATATTTGTCCACTAAGAAAGCCTGAGCTTTTGTTTTTCACATCATTGGCATAAAGTAAGGTCAGCAGCTCTTGAGATTTTTATGTTATGATTACTCTTTCTTGTCTTTTTCTTCTTTTTTTGTTTGTCGCAAAAAATAACATTAAGTTGTCTGTGATATTTCTAAGAGTCATGGATGAGCACAGAAATACTGTAATAGGACTAGAAGTAACTTTCACAGTCTGTGTATACTTACAGATGTATGTGCTTGCAAATAAGGTGTGATAAGAAGTCGATGACCTGCTGAAAGGCAGTCTGCAATACAGATGCCACATATGATCGATTGTTAGTCCTCCCGGTCTTGTACCTCTTAGTTTCCACTGGCAATTGTTTATGAGGAAGCTGTAAGAAACCTGTATTGTCTAAAATTTTTAATTGTCTGTTGGTTTAACTCTTAGATAACTGTTTTGTTTAAAAATTATAGGCTAAAATACTAGTTTTATATTTTTTTGTTTGAATGCTTTATCTTTACTATTTCTTTTATTTTTCCTGCTTTGCCTTTATATACTCAACTTCTAGATAATATCTGAACTCTATCTTGTAAGTACAGTATATCTGCTTGTTCTATAAATTGTTTTATATTAGCTACTTTTAATTTCTTCATGCACTGTTACTGTGTGGTGTTCTGTATTGCTAGCTTGCCTGTCAGTAAAAAATAATTCTTTAACAGAGGTTTGTTTTTTTTTTTGATTGTGTGTAGGGAGTGCAAGAGCGAGATGCTCAGATAAAGTTGCTTACTGAGCAAGTTGAACAGTATACCAAAGAAATGGAACAAAATGCATTTATTATCGAGGAATTAAAAAATGAACTGCAAAAAGATAAAGGTACCATGACCATTTTATGTTAAGGTCTATGAAAAGGAAAAAAAGAAACCACAAGTTTACTGTACATTTCTTTATTCTCTAGAAATACAGAAAAAATATTTGCACTATTTGAGTAGTATTAGTCTCTAATTTTTTTGTTCATACCTATTAATTAAAATTTGAGAACAGTTAAAATTTTTTCTGTGTATTTAAGTGTTTTTTATGGGAAATAAAATGCCTAATCAAACTATATCAACTCTGTAAAGGTTAGAGCATAACATGTAAAGTCTCAACTCTATCAAGAAAAGCAAATAAATAGTAGCATGTAATTAAAAATAAATTCTAATGTCCCTTACGTGCACATTATTTTTCTATATTGTTTGAATAAATGATTGGGGGGGGGAAAGAAGTTTTCACATGTAGTTTTTTATAATTAGTTTAATAGAAAAGAACAGAAAATTAAGCTCCCCTTTATAACATCATCTGAAGTGTTTCCTTCTAGCTTAATTATTGATAGCAAGAATTCCTAGTTCAATTATAAACAGGTCAAGGTTTTTCTTTCCAGGTCACTCATCTCTTGCTCAACAGAATTGGATTGGGGATATGCAGGAGAAGTTTAAAATGCTAGAAGAGAGAACTAAGGAGGCTGAGAAATCAGCAGAATTAGCAGAAGCTGATGCTATGGAAAAGGACAAAGAGCTTGTTGAGACTCTGAAACGAATGAGAAACTATGAACTGGTAAACACTTTGTCAGAGAGGACAGAGTATTCTATCTGATTTTAGGCAATCGTATTTGTCCATTTTTTATTGACTTTGTTTTAATTAGAAATGAAATGAATGACTTATGGTGCTGGATTTTTTTCCTTTTGATTTGTTAGCTGCTTCACAATTTTTACATCAGTTTTAACATTCACATGGGCTTCTAAAGCCTATTGAACAGTAATTGAAGAGTCAATCAAAATAATCAATAATCAAATATGATTATTTGACTGATAATTTAGTAAACCAACTCGATTTTGAAATATGCAGAGATTTCTCTGTAGCCAAAAGACAGATTTATAGGATTTGGGTTTTATTCAATAACTTTTTTCACTAAGCATAGTGCAGAAGAGTGGTACAGGTAGAAAAACATATTTTCTTATCCATGTAATGATAAAAGACAGATTAATAATCTTACATCTTCTGTTGGTTGTTATGTTTTTATTTCCTATTTTGGGTTGTATAGGGAATATATGGTTTGGAAGAGGCTGTTGCTGAAATAAAAGATTTAAAAAAGCAAATAAAAAAACGAGATCATGAAATTGAAACATTGATTAAGGAAGTCAATAAACTTGAACTTAAAATAAATGATTTTCTTGATGAAAATGAAGAACTTCGAGAGCGCTTAGGTATGCTATATCCATTACATTTTCAATTATTTGTTGTATAAGAATTGAAATAGCTATGTTTTGGAAATCTTTAACTTTACTAAGTAACACTTGGAAGTAATTTTTGATATTGTCCTAATACTTTCAAGTAGTTTTGGTTAGTTAGGATAAACTGCATGAATATGCATGATTAAACTTGCAGGTTTAAGAAAGTAAGAGATGAGGTTTTGTTGTGTCTTTGGTTTTGATTCCTCTTTGACTGTACACTGCTTAATTAATTTCATAATATGATATTTAGAAACCATAAAATACCGGAGTTGTAATGCTAGATTGAAAAGCAGAAAACTTTGGAGAGGCTTATTTTTACATAGGAGAATCTAAACATAAATAGAGTTAATTTTAGGTGGCATTTTATTAATTTTGGTTTTTTGAGTAATTGAAATAAAATGCTTTCTTCTGCTGTTGTTACATGGAGCATAAGATGTGTGCACATACAGAGAAATATTTATATATATTCAACTATCAACATACCATTATTTTAACTCTACTTGACTAGCTAGATTCTTACTTAAATGAACTACCTTTTGATGGTTACTAACATCAGTATTCCTCCTTAAGGAATAATTGTGTAGCATATACTGTGTTTTAGGTCTTGAGCCAAAGACAATGATTGATTTAAATGAATTAAGAAGCAACAAAACATTGAAGCAGCAGCAATTTAGAGCTGAAAAACAGATTCTTTTGCAAGAGGTAAGTGATAAATCCTGTTTTAGTCTAAAAGCTATATAATAATAATGTATTTGAACAAGATTAAATACTGATTAAATACTGATACGCAGATTGAAAGACTTGAAGAGGAAAGGATTGAACTGAAAAAACAGGTTCGTAAGTTGGCTCAGGAGAAAGGAAGAAAAGGTGCAACCATAGGTAAGATTTCTTAATAATAAATTGTCCTTTCAAAAACATGGTGTCTGTGCTTGTTAATATAGCTATGTTACACTTACTCATTTGTTTAAATTGCAAGGCTAAATCCATTTCATTGAATCTGTAGGAAGAGGTGAGTGTTTTTTATTTCCTTCGTCCTATAGCCCAGTAGCTTTTTGACTTGTGTTGGCAAGTCATGCATCACTGAGAGTTGTGTCATTGGCTTGTGGTTCTTAGATGCAGTATGATCTGGCCATGATTTCCAATAAATCTGTATAATTTAAGTGTTTCAAAAATCTTTAATGTCTCTATTTGCCACCCAGGGAAGCATCTTGTGCTTATATGGAAAGATTTACAGCTTCTTATTTTGCAGGTAGAAAACTAGAACTCAGATATTTTAAATTGAACATATTTGTTTGCTTGGAGACCAGTTAAAATTCATAATAATTTCTTACTTGTGCATTTACTTGCAATTAGCATTGGATCCTGGGGATGTGCCTATAACTGATAGCTTTACTGAAGAAAAACAGATAAATAAGAGGAAGCTGGATTTCTTGACCAGCCATGATATTGCTGAAGTAAAAGCAAAGGTAGGCTTGTAAAGCAAGTTAATACATAAAAATAGTGTTATTTTGTAGATATCTCTTCAAAGATAGATGCTTTTATTAGCTGCTATTAACCAAAAAAAATATTAATTTGTAATTTTTTTAGAAGACTAATGAATATTCTGTGTTTTTTGTGACTATAGTCTAGCAGCTCGTGTAACATGGAAGGAAGAAACATACTTGCAGATAGAGAAGCACCTGTTAGACTTCTGAAGGCAGAGAAAGTTATAGCTGAAAAGAGTACAGCTGTGGGAAATCTACCTAGAAGAATTTCTGGCATACTCAAGAATTTAAATCACATGGAAAAAAATAGAAATACTTCTTTGGTTCATTTAGATTCAAAACATGAGACAGAGTGGCAAGTAGTGAGTGACAGCTATACTTCCGAAGCTCTTAGTGTAAGAGATCTTATTGTATCACCAGAGCTACAATTTACACAAACATCAGGGATAACAGATTATACAGACAATAGAGAGATGTCAAAAGACTTAAAATCAGACTACACAGATTCGTTTTCTGCTTATCAGCGAGTCTGTCAGGCCTCAGAGGTAAGTAACTACAACTGCAGAAACAAGCCATCTTTTCAGAATGAACTGTCCATAACTTCTAATTCAGACCAAACAGGTCAGGAAATATGTTGCTTCAGACTATCTCTCAGAAGAAACTCTCTGATTTCTTGTGCATCTGTTCTTGGAAGGCCAGTAATGCACAAAACACAAGTATCAGCACTGAAGGATAAGCAAGATTATTTGCAAGTTAAGTTTTCCAATTTAACTGCATTTCAAGAAGACAGAGAAGGAAAGAAATGCCTAACAGAATTGTTGCAAGTAAAAAGTTTGGAAAGTTCACTTGAAAATGGACAAAAAGAACACTCGGGTCAGGTAGATCCAGTTGGAAATCTCATACAGCAGTTGAGAGAATTAGCCTTTCTTAGATCACTGGTGAGACACCTTTATAGTGTGAGTGCATTTCTATCGCAGTTATTTAGAAGGTAAATTCCAACAATAAAGATGTATTCATTTACTGTCATCATTATTAATTAAAGCTGTTGGATAGTTTTAATAGAATTGGATGTTTTTCCTTCTAATTTAAAAAAAAAAAAAAAGCCAAGTAATTATTTTGCAGTTTATTTGTTGACACAGGATTGAAAAATGTAGGCATACATTTTCATTTTGTTGGTGGAAAAAGTTTGCACAACAGGCAGTATGCTTTCCTGTTGTGATTTCTCTTAAAATACTGTGTTAGCCAACCTATGGAATAAATAATGCCTACTAATTGCACTTTCAGTGGAAAAGAAATGGGGTTTTTATATTTTGGAAGATAGATCTTGGAAGTAATGTCTTTTTTATATAAATGAAGAGAGAATCCTATACTAATAACTTATTATTGTTTGGGTTAAGTTTTTTTTAGAATGAGCAGATATCCCGAGATTTGTTGATCAAGAGTATGTTAAATACTTACAAAGATTTAAATCCTGAAAGATATAGAGGCCAGGCAGTGCAGGTAGTACAAAGTTTTTTTAAGAAACCCAAATAGGATAAATATTCATATAGGGTTTATTAATGGTTTAAATTTTTCCTGGTAATTTAGTTACTGTGAAGATGAGGCTTTATATTATTGTTGCCTTCTATATGACACCTCATTTTGTTTTACATACTGTATGATTTCACTGTTGATTATGTATGGATTAGCAATATTTTCAAGCATTTGTTCTCATTTAAGTAGAGTCCTAATGAAAATTCTAATGCCTGAATTACTATTTTTGAGTCTTCTTTGTTCTTTTCTTTAGAATGAGTACCTTGCAAATGAATTAAGTGTGAGAGAGAGGGATTTGGAGAAGAATGAGGCTGTAATAGCCAAATTTCAATCTAAATGTAAGTTCCAACCTTCTTTAAAAATCAGGTATATTATCAGGTGCCTGCAGATAATTTGCTTATTTAGTTTTTCTGGTTTTGTGATTTTGACCGCAAATATCTGTCTTTACAGTTTCTGTTTGAAATGCAGCTTACTTTTGTATCTTTCACCGTGATTGAATTTGCTGTGTACAGAGAAGTTTGTGATACAATTATTCTAATCTGTTTCTCAGCTGTCGAAATGAATGGTTGTGAATTGGCGCAGGTGCAAACAGAATGATTTCAAAACAATGATAGTAAATGGCATTTATCAAATTTGAATTTCTTTGAATTCTCATTAATGACTTTTTAAAAAAAATGTATTTATATTAGGGTATATCTTTGTGTGTGTGTGTTTAAATATTCATACTTAATGCTTTAAACTAGGATCTCTCATGTTTTTCCTTCCTGAATCAGACCTAATAAGGGTTTTAAGTCTGTGAGTGATCGAAATTATAATAATTATACAATTTACTTATGTAATCGTAGTGCTTTTCTGGCTACAAGGGAGTGACAGAGAATTAAACCCACTTGCTGCTTACATATATATGTCGGTTAGCTGAAGTTCACTCCTAGCAAACTGAAATAAAATTAATGTTAATTTCTCTTGGCAAGATCTTTACTTTTTTTCCCAGATAATGTGAATTCGAAATGTAATTATTTTTTACTTTTCAAAACAGACATGGTGCTTAAAGTGCTACAAATTATGCAGTTAATTCCAGGGTCTTCAGGGAAGGTAGCCAGTTATTGTTGAGATGCAGACAATGTCCTGGCAGGTTTGTTGTTTTTTTCTAAAGTTTGCAGACTTCTTGCTCAATGCTGGAAGGTTTGGAATTCCACTGAGAGACTAATGGTAGCAGGAAAACTGTATGTCTTGAGAGCCTTTATTCCAGCTAAATAATTTACATGTCTGCAACAAATATGCACGCAAATCCTATATACTTCATTGCTACACCCAAATACTTCCCAGATAGCCATATTTTTGGATTTGTGAAAGTCAGTCAGGCTACTAAAGAAGTGAAAAAGTGGCAGGAAACGTTAAAGACTGGAAGGTTCAAGAAACTCAAATATGTTCCCATGAAGCATTTTATTATTGTTTTGTTGGTATTTTTCAGCAAAATACATTCTTTAGCAGAGATTTCAGCAGCTATACTTTTAACTTCCTAATTGTGTCTGTCTATAATATGAACATTATTCTTCTATATCAAAGTAAAAAAGTATTGTGATGATAAGGCAAGGGAAACCTTAACTCATTTTTTCAGTGCCTTTAATCACATTTACAATTTTTATTACAGTAAAAGAATTATCAGAAGAGAATAAACAACTTGAACAAGGAATGAGAGAAATATTACAAGCTGTCAAGGAAATGCAGAAGGATCCTAGTGTGAAGGGAGGAGAAACAGCCTTAATAATCCCTAGTTTGGATCGTTTAGTTAATGTGAGCTTGCTTTTTAAACTATAATTTAACTTTATAAGATTGATATGCCTTTTTTTTCTTCCTCAATTATTGAGTTATTTTATAATTAAATAGTAGCTTCCTTATACACATGCTTCCTTAGTTACAGGTAGGAGTACATAGTGTGATACTTCTTTAAAATGCTAATTAAAAATATACTGCAACAAGGGATTGCCAATAAAAATATATATTTATTTTTTTTTAAATCTTCAGCTGGATAGTATAAAACTGTCTTTGGCAAGTTTATTGTTCAGTCATAAAGCTTAGGTAAAAATTTGTTAGCATGGACTGTATGGACTTGGAGGAAATGTTGAAAAAAAATATTTATTCAAATACCTTATAAAATAAATCCAGTATTTACAGGAAAATATAACCATTTAAGTAACAATCTATGGCATATATACCATTAGGAAAGTCATATGTAAATTTTAAAACTTCAACAGTTCATGCTTTTTTTGCATTCCTTGTAGTCTAAACTTGAGGGCTACAGGTTTTTTTTTCTGAAAAAACAAAGCATTTTGTCTCTGTTTTGTTCATTAAATGTCTACTGCATTAGGCAATGGAATCAAAGAATTCAGAAGGAATATTTGATGCTAATGTGCACTTGAAAGCTCAGGTTGACCAGCTTACAGGACGAAATGAAGAATTAAGACATGAATTGAAACAGACTCAGAAGGAGGCAACAAATTTCTCTAATCAGCTGGCAAATGCAAATGAAAAGGTATAAAATTAAATTAATACAATTAGTTTTGTACTTGAAAAGTAGCTGATCTGATAATTTAGAACAAAACCATACAATGTAGAAGATACTTAATTAAGCTTATGGGAACAGTGTGTTTATACAAATCTTAATTAAATATATGTATTGTAACTACAAATTTGTCTATTTTAAATTCAAATCTTACTCTTCCTAATGTTACCTTATCCTTGGAAAATCTTATCATGTTGAACACCAAGCATCCGTGTCTTTTGAGAAGAGCTGTGCTCCAAAGAAACTCGGATTTCTTTCTTCAAAAACCCAGTAGTTTTGCATTTGTTATTTATAAATAAGTAACAGATATTAAGTGTTCTAAAATGATGAATAGTTTTCTGAAATCCTGTGTCTTGTTTTAAGTTGTACTACTGAATCTGTGGCATGCTTCTTCCAGGGCAGGAGGGGGAAATGGATAGGAAGTCTAATTTAAATTTGCTTCTTCAAAGAATTTTAGTGATGCAAGAAGATTTGCCAGTAACTAATATTCCAGAATAGTGTAATGTGTACTGTTAGGGTAGAGAACCAGAGGCAAAGATTTGTTTAGAATAAACCGTCAATTAGCTACTGCAATAATTCTATCCAATACTTCATCTTTTTAAGAGGAATAGAAAAACACGATGTTTTAAACAATTTGGAATATAACTGTGGTGATTCCTCAAATATATGATACTTCCCTTATTGTTGGAGTAATGTAAGTTTGGCCTCAGATATTACACATTTCATGATTTATGGAATCACAGCATTTTTAAAAGCTACTTTAAAGACTGTTTGAATGCTTTAGAATATAAGTGGAAGTTATTAACAACTGATGTAGCACAGGAAAACAAGATATTTTCCATCATTGATTTTTTTTTTTTTTTCATTTAATTGAATTGAATGGAAAGAGCTGCTTCTTTATGGTTTTGTTTCCTTTCTTTAGATTGCACAACTGAAAAATGAAATTTGCTTATTACATCAGTCACAAGGTGCCAATATTGTCTTCCAAACAGTGAATCTTCCAGAAGGAATAGCTCCTTCAAGTGTTAATATTATTAATTCTCTGAATGAATATATAATACATCTTATACAGGTAACTCATTTACTCCTTGATATCAAGAATATTTGTAACATTAAGCTAATTCCTCCAAAATCTAGTACCATGCCAGGTATGGACAGAAGAGAAGTCTCCAAAATTATTTCAAAGTTCTGACATGCAGTAAACCAAGATATTCTGTTGCGTTTTTTTTTTTAACTTCTGAGTATTTTGATGTGTTGTGATCCTGGAAACTAACACTTCATTAAATTTTTTATAACATTTTCGTTATTTTTGGTTTACATCTGAATTTTGTTAAATATTTGGCCACTCTTCTTTGTACGCTGTGGTTGCATTCTTTTTCTATGAGAAATTCTCTGGATTCCACACCTGGGTCTGCATGTGCAAATTCTAATTTGAACAGTTTTTATCTATATAGCAAAGGTCTCTATTTATTTACCATATGAGTTTTCATTCCATTATTTGTCAATATATGTCAACATTTGTTGAGGCATATATACATTGAAACTGAAGCCAGTGGTTGCCATGGTAACCATAGCAGATGAGCATATAGAAAAGAAGAATTGGTTCTTTAAAAATTGGAGTAAAAAGAACTTACCTTTTATTATTATTATTAAATTATTTTGTTCTATCTTCAATTGCTTCTCTTGGTTAGAGAATATTTTTCAACTGTATTAAGAAGAAGAGTATATGAAAACATGAGAAGAAAATATCCCTTTTCAGTTAGATGTTCAATTAGTATTCTCTATGGTTACGTAGCATGGTGTTTTGAACTTTGAGAGCTGTAATCCACAGTGCAATTACACATTATTTCACACCTATTAATGTGAATGCCAAAGATTATTGAACTTTTTTTCAGCTGTTGCTTCTAAAGGAAAGACACATTTCATATCTGCAGTTCACACAGTTACTGACAGAAGCCTCTTGTCATGAAAAACATGGAGAACTGGCATTTTGATTAATCCTTTCATGTTTAGAACCTATATTAATTACTTCAATATTTTTATTTGGAAAATATTCATTAGGAACTTGAAAATAAAGAACAGTTACTTAAACAATTAGAAGATGCAATAGAGGACTACAGGCGAAAATTTGCAGTAATTCGTCATCAACAAGGATTGCTGTATAAAGAATATCAAAGGTATTGTTCTCCTTGCTGAATTACAGAAGTCCAACTACCTAAATATTTAATAATTTTGAATACAAGATTTGCTGCTGTGTTGAGTTAGTTCTTTGATTAATGTCATAAATTCTGCTGCTGCTCTTGAATATGGACTCCATTTTTTTTCTTTCAAAGATTCATAAAACTCTTACGAAAACATCTCTTTTCATGGGCACGGGCTCTTTTCATGTTGCATGTGTTATGAGGACTAGATTGTGCTTTTGCATCTGACATCCTGTATTTTATCAGAACCTGGCATTATATACTCGTTCCTTTTGCTTTCAAATATGGGTCATAACAGTTTTTCTCAGGGGGAAAGGAAGAAAACTTATTCAAATGCAGTCAGAGATCTCTGTTTTAAAATTTCAGATTGTCAGGACTTCACAGTTGGTTTTCTTTCAGACTTTTAGTTCCTTTATATGCTTAATTGAGTCTAATTTCTAAAATATGCTTCTTATGGTCAAAAAAAAAAAAAAAAAAAGGATTTTCATCAGTTAGGAGCAGAGGGGTGAATCTGGTGATTTCAGTTCTTTAATGATCAGACTATTAATTGTGTCTCTCTGTCCTTGGATTGGAAGGAACAGTCACTGGATGGCTTTTCAATCAAGGGTGTTTTATCTTTTAGGACCTTCTGTTTGTTCATTGACTCAGTTAAGACTTCCCAGATAACATTATGTCTGAGGCAATAAAGCTATAACATTTTTAAATTATTATAGGCTATAATATACTTTCTTATTTATTACTAGATTGGGTATCTCCAGTGATGAGGATAAGATGATGATTCAAGGCTCCTTCTCCAAACCTGTTACAGATTGAAGTCAAGGAAGGAGATTCTTTGGCTTTGAAACTCATAAAAACTTATTTTCAGTGCATTTTCTTTGTCTTCTGTTTATTTCCATTATGGAAGAAAGTAGGAGATCTTCTTGGAAGAGAATATACTACTTTCAAAATACCCTTGATTATCTGTTTAAATTAGTCTAAACTATCCATTCTATAGGAACTTCCTTATTAGATATGTATAAACAGTTCATAGTCTTTTTTTCTTTCTAAATAAATAAATAAATGTGGATAGAGGAGAGTAGTTTGGGCCAAAGCAAACTAAATCTTTGTATGATTTTGATTGTTTTTTACTGAAGTAGAAAAGCTAGAGTGGGAAATTATGTCCTTTATGCAACTGAAATAAAATTAATGTAATAGAAGGGAAAATTTGCAAAACCATTTGAAAAAGGGAGTTAATACTACAGCAATTGCCTGACCTTTTGTTTAGAAGTCTGAACTCCAGTGCAGAATTTGGATATGGGAAACGTAAGTTTAATTCTGTCCACATCCTGAGGGGAATTTGAACTGCTAACTTTTAAAGAAAAAGCCTGGTACTGTTCTGTGGGGAGATCTCAGAGGATGAGCAAGTTAATATTTTCCTTAAAATACTGTATCATTCTGTATGAATAAATAAAAATACTTCAAAATCTACTTAGGCATTCTGTCTCTCGAGAACTACAGAAGCCTTGTTCCCCTTGAAAGTTGTCTTTCTTAGCTAATGAACGTGCAAGTGCTTCATGCAAAGGAAACAGTTATGGAAATAAGAGTCACTGATTATTTGGCAAACCATTTTATCTAGCTGTAAACATCTTCAGCCAAATTAATAGGCAAAAATGTGAATACCTGCTGAAATGTGCTGGGCCTAGTCTGCTTCAAAAACAAAGCCCCATATACAAGTTCACGGCATGGTAATTGCTGGTTGTCTGATTTTTGTCTCACTTCCTATGAAAAGGAGACTTGGAGTTTCTGGAGAGGTACTTAATGTGGAAAGATTTCTATTATTTTTACCAAGATGTGCAATAAACTACTTATTTTGGAATACAAGTATGTGATTTAAAGCAGATTAAGTCCTGTATGTGTTATTTTTTGGGGGTGTGGCATCTCTGTCTCTGCACTATCTTACACATGTGAACAAGAGATAAGACCCTTCAACTTAAGAATTATTTTCATCATTAAACCAGCTGCAGCCTAAACAGAGAGGATAGATTTTCAGTAATCCATGTAAAATTGATAATGTCTTTTCCCAGTTATGTAACTGCTGAAAATGAGTATTGTGGTTTGCAGTATTTCAAGGTTGATGTTTTAGTTACAGTTTTTTCAGTCACCAAGTCTTCCATAATTCTAAAGAAAATATTTAATTTCTGTTTTAGTCAAAAGGAAAGCTGGCAGAAGGAAGCAGAATGTATGAAAGAGGAAAAGAAAAAGCTAGAAGAGCAAAAAGAACAGGATGCTACAAAAATAAAGGCATATTCTGTGAGTAATTTTGTTGCTTTCATTTTTCAAGAGTTTTAATACACTAACCAGAGAGTTGAGTACAATACTGTAATTTCTTAGATGGGGAAAATGTTGCAGGCAAAAAGTGTTCAATTCAAATAAAATCAGAAGTGAAGTTGTTTATTGATTCATTAGTGCAATGTAAATAACTGGCCATCCGTGAATTACACATTCAGAATCAGTGTCAACAATGCAAAAGATAAATCACAATATCAAGACACTTATAAAATGTTACCGTAGACCTAAAAATCTCTAAGCACCATTGAGTAATTTGTTCCAAATATTTCTTATCCCACACATCCACATTCACACAGTTTCACTCACTGCCTGACTCCTTCAGTTTACCAGCACACACAGCCTTTCCTGAGAGTGCGGGTTCACTGAGTACACACACATCTTGCGTGTGCTCCGGGGTGCTGTGTAGCTGTGGGGTGCCCTGGTATTACATGGACCTGTGCACCTCCCTGCAGTCTGCTAGTCCAGGCTCTGGTGAGAAATCACCCCAAGAGCTCACACACACACACCCGAGGTGGGAGTCCTGTTTGTTGCACTTGTATCACCAGTCCCTTAGCTGGAGTGCTGAGGTTCGTGGTGTACAGCAGGGAGGAAGCACTCGTGTCTGCACGGAGGATGCAGGGACAGTGGGGAAACTTCTGAAACTGAACTAGGATACGTGTCCTGCATTATAGCATTGTAGAAGTTTTCATGCTTCTTTTATACTAATTTTAAATGTGACAACTTCTTTATTTCAAATTTCTCAGGTATTCTGTTAACACACTATATTTACACTACTCTCTTAACAGCAGTTGTAATCCATACTGTTTGACTGGGAGGAGGACCATTGTAGGCACCTCTATAGAATCATAGAATCCTAGGGGTTGGAAGGGACCTCAAAAGATCATCTAGTCCAACCCCCCTGCCAGAGCAGGATCACCTAGAGGACATCACACAGGAAGGTGTCCAGGTGGGTTTTGAATGTCTCCAGTGAAGGAGACTCCACAACCTCTCTGGGCAGCCTGTTCCAGTGCTCTGTCACTCTCACAGTAAAAAAGTTTTTTCTGTTATTCACCTTGAACCTCCTGTGCTCCAATTTGAACCCATTACCCCGTGGAAAACACATTCGTTTATACTAAGAATTAAGGTTATTACTTTGAATTACTTCTTTTTTATATGTACCTCTTAGTGTACATCTATCAGTATTGCATAAGAATGGGAAATAGAATAAATCGTTCTATTTTGGTTTACTTCCACCAAGATGAAATTCAATATTCTGTTACCAAAAGTGAGAAAAGGCTTTTTAAATGGTGGTATTTCAAAGTTGATGCATGTGCCTAATCTAGTGCAGTTTTAGATGGTTTGGGTATCTTTGGGCACATACCAAAAGCTGCCAAATAGGACAGAAGACATAAGGGACACACATGTCCTTTTAGAGAAGCAGACACAGGGCAAGGATGTCACAAGGTGTTGAAAATGACTGCAGATGCCTGAGTTTAGACAGCTGAGTTTAACCCTTTTCTTCTGAGAGGTGACTAGTGATTTGTGGTCCTGCTTATAATCATGTTCATAACTGTAGTTGTTTTGCAATATAATTGTATCCTGAGGCAATTAAGCCTAAATATGTTTCTAGAAAAGTGAAACTGAAATGGATTTGTGATGTTTCTACTGTGTTTAAAAAAATAGTGTGTGGATGGAGCACACACTGTCTTGATTAATTTGTTCAGTATCTTATTCTGCACAGTCACAGAAGTTGATTGTAGCAAGATTACTATATTTCTATTATTTGTTTTTTAAATTACTTTAAAATGTAATGGCATTTTCTGATGTTAGCAGTGCCAACAAATTATTGCTGAGATCTTTTAGGGAATTACTTTTTCCCTATATTTTTGTTTCCAAAAACACATCCTATCCAAAGATAAGAAATACCTACTATTATTTAGTATTATTTTTTGCTAGTATGGAGTTTTGTTTAGAATTAGGTGAACATTTTCATATTAAACATTTCACCGAAATTAATTTACTGTGGATGATCAATGAAAATGTGTTGCTTGCTCTTAAAATCTTAAGAAAACAAGGCTTCCTGAGCAGAAAAGCCAAATCTTTGCCAGTTGTCACGGAACAAGAGTTTTTTCATTACTTCAGGTTTCCATGACTATAATTTTTTCTACCTACCTGCTCATTCTTCTTTATTAGGATTATAGGAATCTGGGACTTCATAGCTCCATTTTCTACTCCCTGTCTCCTTGGCAAACAATGTGTGCAACAGCACAGCTAAAATTCATGTCCCTTCTGTGACCTGAGTCACTGTAGTTCCCTCTTCACTCTCTCTGCCCCTGCCTCAGATTTCTACATGCACGCAAACATGTGTGTGCATATATGCACGCAAACACACGCATGTTTCTGTAGGAGGGGTCCTTTGTTTACTTTGCAAATACTCATTTGGTCCTCAGAGTAGGATGTTCTTAGTGTTTGTTAGGAATTCTATTTGGTTTACAAAATTTTTCCAATACATTTGTTTTAATTGCAGTAAATTCTCAAAATATCAGCATTAAATAAAATTTCAAGTAGTCAAATATATTTAGCTTCTATTCCTCATGAACTAATGATTTTGAAGATTTATTTTTCCTTGTACTAGGATATTGTATGCTTATGCATGTTTTGAGTGTGTTTATGTGTTTTATTAGTAAAAAACTTATTTCCAACAGATTAGGAGAATTTTTACACCTAGATAAAAGAAAGTAGAAGTGAGCTCGTCTACCTAGTTGAGTTTTGCCGTATTTCTTACAAGTTTCTTGTTAAAAAAATATTTTACAGAATTTACTCAGTGCACTTCAGCTGGATCCCAATGAAACAAAAAAAGTACTTGCAGAAAATAATAGAAAAATAACAGTTTTGCAAGTTAATGAAAGGTCACTAAGAAGGCAGTACACCACTTTGCTTGAAACTGAACGGCATCTTAGAAAAGAAAATGAGAAACTAAAGGATGAAATAACACAAATGGAGACTGCAGTTAAAGGGAAGATTGGAGACTTGCAACGATTCAAGGTATAGTTTATAGTAGTAATAATACACATTTGTGTTTTAATAATTTGGCAATGAATACAGGGGAGGGTTAATTGAGATACTACTAGTTTCTTGTATGCATTACCCAAATGCTTAATAAATGCTGTTACAAATTATGTCAAAATATTATTTGTATTTTAATAAGCATCATAATAGAAAAACTCTCAATTTTGACCTTCTGAAGTTTCTTCAGCAAGTTCTTTTATGTACTTTTTGGCCTTGCTGGTTGTTATGGCCTTTTTTAACACATCTGTATGAAACAATTTTTGACAGTGCCTTATGTTTGAGAGGCAACTAGTGATAAAATTACCCAGAGACTTGGAATACCCAAGAAATGTTGTCAATGTCTGTTGCAAGCAATTTATAAGGATGGACAGTAACTTAGCAAAATAAACCAGTGTCATATTTAAAATCATTATATTAAATGGTATTTTTTTCTGTGGAGTAATTTTAACTTTTTATTTTATTTTATTTTATTTATCTAGCAGACCTTAGTAACCCATTGTGTCAATTATTTTCATAGGAAATGGCTAGCTTTAAGATTGCAGCTCTGCAAAAGGTGTTGGATGGTAGTGTGCCATTGTCTGAGCTAGAACTAGCCAATAAGCAGTATAATGCATTAACTGCTAAATACAGAGATATGTTGCAAAAAGATAACATGCTCGTCCAACGGACAACAAGCATGGAACACATGGAGGTAATGTTTGCATTATGTTTGAGCCCTAAGGGAAAAAGCATCTCTATACATTTGTTCTGTGTTGCGTTTTATTTTCGCTTAATAGAAAGATACATAAGTCCCAATGGTAGAACTGCTGGTTACATTACAACAATTCCATAGTGGGTGTGAGATATTTGAATCAGTCTTGCTATCAAAATTTAATTTGCTTAACTTGTACTTTTTAGTGTATTAAGAAACATACACACAGTCCCAGATTTTGTTTCAATGGGTATAGATAAAAGCATTTTGTTCAGTTGTTTTGGTGGGTTTTGTTTGTTCGTTTTGTTTTTTGCTTGCTTGTTAGCTTTTTAGGCTCAGGCTATGTTCCCTCACAAAGTATTTTTAGTTCTTTGACTACCAAACAAGGCCAACAAAAGGAATATTTGCTGTCATCTTCAGTTTTGGAGGTCATAAGGAAAGTAGAATGAGTGTAAACACTTTAAAAAAATTTATATTAAAATACAGCATAGCAAAGACTACCATTTTTAGTATTAAAAGGAAACTTACACTTTTCTCTTGCCATATATGTAGGTTTTGGGTTGTGCATAGGAGCAATCTGTTCAAAAGATTTTATAGATACTAAACGTCAAGTCTGCTACAGTTAAATAGCTTGCTGTTATGTTGCAACTTTTTTTACATACAGCATGAGAATGTATCATTGAAGGCACAGATAAATTTATTGAATAAGGAACTGGAGATCACGAAAGAGAAACTTCACACTGTAGAACAGGCTTGGGAACAGATGACTAAACTGGGCAAGTATGATAGTTATATTACAACATTAATAATCAAACAGTACATCCTGTTTAAAATTGGTATATCTTAAAACACACACAAAAAAGTCAAAATTACTTTGTATCTTTCATAACCAGTCTCAATTATTTTTGTGTGATTTTTATTTATTTATTTGTTTGTTTCATTTAACTTACCTATTTAACCAAAACTAAGTTTGCTATTTTCCTCTGGGAACTGTTTCACAGTTACTGGGGTTACTGGGTTCTGGGTTTAAAAGCTGAAACTTGTAAAGCAACAACACCTGCTTTTATTTATTTATTTATTTATTTATTTATTTATTTTAATGAGAGGCAATATTTTTTATTTGCTTCTCAGTCGGAACACTTCATATGTTGTCAGGAAAATTATTTATTTTTCCTGGTTTCATGCTGGGTAACAAAGCATGTTTTCTTGATGCAGCTTCTATGTGTACAGTTTACATTCCCACTATTTAAGAAGAATTTATCCAAATATATTTCTTTCACAGATTTTAAATTAAAATTCCTGAACATTTACCAGCTGAATTAAGGATAAAGTGAAAGCCTGCACTGAAAACAGTTATCAGTCTCAATAACTATGGTTGCAGATATACCCGTTTATAATTGATAATAGTATTTTATTCAAGTTAGATACTTTTCAAACATGTAATAAGGCAAGAGATAATCATGCCTCCGGTTTAAAAAAGTAATACAGTTGTTTTGGTAAAATTTATCTGACTGAGATAAAGAAAAACTCAAGTTCTGTGTCATGGTTCAAATATTTGTTGTATTTGAATCAGCTGGTATATTCCCTAATTTAAATATTTTTTAATGTAGGGGATGACAATGCCATGGACAAGGCGACAAAAGCAATTACTAACAGTGAGATTTTGTCCATTTCTAAGAAAATCACAATGTTGGAAATGAAGGAACTAAATGAAAGACAGAGAGCAGAACATTCGCAACGAATGTATGAACATTTAAGGAATACTGTAAAGCAAGTAGAAGAACGTAATTTTGAATTGGAAGCAAAATTTTCTGAGGTAAATCTTTCCACATTTAACAACAAAGTGTTACACATCTTAAAGGCATATTTTTCAGCTTCCCAAAAACTATTAATTTATTTAGCTGCAAATAAGTCTATGATGCAAAGTATAGCTGCCTTTTTAGAGCTGCAATTTTGCATGTACAGAACCTGTGTAAAAAATTGAAGTAATTGATTTATAAGTAGTTTATTTCAAACATTAATTAATCTCTGTAAAACACATGATGAGCATCTTGATAAATACTTTCCTAGTTTTTCAGCAGTCTGCTAGAAAAACCCTGCTTTTGGCCTGTTGTTTCTTGTGTCTAATTCATATGATCCCATAATTTTCCCTTAATTACCAATGATTCAAAAATGTTAGACCTTTGCATCCCTTTTGCAAATGATAGTGTTGTAGGCTGGCTGTGCTATGTCCTCTGTCACATACCAAATATTATCTGTAATAAAAGAAGTCATGTCCCATTGAAGCTAATGATCCTTATTATTGCTGTCATATCAGTCTTAATCTTGTAAGATTTTTTTACCCCGTACATTTATTTATGGAACATTATTTAATAGTAGGAAACTTTATTATAATTTCCAGTCTAAATTTAGTTTTAGGCAGTTGTATGCACAAGGGAAGGAAAATAATAGTTTTGTTGACAGGAATGTTGATAGATTGTATTTGTTCCCCTTCCTGTCCTTTGCTAGAGTTTAGCCTAGCTATTTTAGATGGCTGTTAACTGACTCCCCATTTTTCTGTTGTTTTAGTAGTGTTTGTTAAGCTGTTCTGGTTTTAATTAATATGGGATGTGGAGTAACTGAAAATATATCAAGCTTTTCAGCAGCAGTATTGTCAAAGCCTTTTTTTTCCTTATTTTAGTTTAAGAGCAAGTTATTATAGTAACAATTTTAAGAAAATGTTCTAATAAAAGTTATGTTTAATTTAGAATACTGTTTTGCACGGACCCATGTGTCTGTTCCTATGTGTATGCAGCGCTGCAAACAAAAAGATGTTTTAAGCAGAGAGGAAATTGGTTTTTTAACACAGCTGAGCACTGTTTTGTAATGACTGAAAAAGAAAAGATACTTTTGCATGGCAGAGTTGAGAGCAGTGGTGTGCTTAGGATACCATTTTGTTTCTGGTTTTGTTTCTTTTTAAGCTCACCAAAATCAACCTTGAGGCACAGAAAGTGGAGCAGGAACTAAGAGATGAACTGTCAAAGAGTGTAAGTAAAGCAGTAAGTGATGCAGATAGACGACAAATCATGGACCTAGAGAAGCGTGAGATGGAGCTCAAGATTGAAGTATCGAAGTAAGTGTAGTAACAACTTCTGAATGCAGTATATTCAGAAGCATGCAAAAACTTAGGCTATATAGGCTATGTAATATACTACTTATGTATTGTTAATAGATAATTTTCAATGCCCATTTTTTTTGGCATTTATATGTTCCAGGTTTGGAATTGAAAATTAAGCATTTAATTAATTACTCTAAAGAAATCAACTTGCTTCATTTTGATTTGAACAAGGAATTAAGTGCTGGCCTGGATAGACATGGATAAGTGTGCAACTAGATATCTATTACTAGTGTTTTTAAACCAATTAATTAAGGTTTATTTTGTTTCTGCGCCCCAACCTCCCTTAAATGTATGACAATCTTATAAAAGAAACTGGAAAGCAGTTCTTACTTTGGAAGAGTCATAGGTATGTTAAAGATACAACTGCAGGGAGGGTGGGTAGCCATTTATTTTAAAGAGGTTAACTTTGTATGCATAAATTTAAAAACTGGCTTTTTTAGATATGTAAAAATGCACATTTGTCTTTGAGTAAATAATATAATCCTGCTACCTTCTTTCATGGTTTGGCTCAGAATTGGCTATTAGACCAGTGACAATAATGCTCTCAATCCCCTCCCCCTCCCACCAAGACAGGGAAAGGCAAGATAAGAAGGAGAGAGTCTTCCCTTATTGAAAACTAAACTAGACAGCTTTAATTAAATACTAATGATAAAATAAAATATGTACAAATACATACAAATATGTTCAGGAATGTGCAAAACCCCTATTGCCTCCTCCCACCACCCAGCAACTCCCCTGACACTCTCCTGAGCCATGAGCAGTTCTGAAATGTCCCAGACCACTGCTGAAGCAGACAGGAGCTGAGGGGAGAGTTAGGCAGGTCAGGAATACATGAGCCTAGGAATCAGCAGTGATGGATAGATGGAGTCCACCCTGGACATCAGCCATGATCAGAAGAGAAGGGAAGAAGCAGGAAGGAACTTGACTTCTGTGATCCTTGACCTTACTCTAAGCTTACATAGATACACGGAATGGAATACTTTGGTCAATTTTGCTGTCCATCTAGTCCACTTCTCCCTACGGGAAGGCTGCAGATGTGACTCTTCTGCTCCAGTAGTATTTGAGGCTGCAGAGCAAAGTGTCCTTGATATCTTGGCAGAACATAAACATTCCAGCATTATCAGTCCACTAGCTGGAAAACTTGCTGTTAGTTAAAAGAGAGCTCACTGAAGAAAAAGAAATCAGTAAAAAGAAAATGGGCTTCATCCTGGCTCAAACCGGGACATATTCCTAAAACAGCACAGTCTGTAGAGATATTTACAGTGAATTTGACACTGAAATTGAGTTACTAGACTTGGTGAAGCAGGGAAAGGAACTGAGAATGAAACTTCTATGCATTAAAGTTCTGAAGTGGGAGAGAAATAGAGAACAGAGATGCTTAGTTCAGGTAAAAACCATGGAATTGTTTTCCTGGACTAAGTTATTGCTGTAAAACTTATGTGTAACTTACAGGAAAATGTCCTGTGAAGAAACTGAGAGGCAATACAGAAGTATTTTCATAAAAAGGACTCTGAGTAGTAGAGTATGCTGAAAAGAACAAAGTCTTCAAATGTTTTGATATGAGGAAACATAGTGAGCATCTTTTCTTAGCATTTGCTATGTAGAAAAACTTAATAGGTTATTCAGTGACTTAATAGGTTTCAAGTGACACAATACTCTTGTTTTCCCTGCAAGGCTAAGAGAACTGTCTGATGTAGCAAAAATGCAAGTTGAAGCTCTGGAGGCACGGCAGCAATACAGAGATAAAGAAGTGGAATATCTTAGGATGCAAATTTTAGACTACCAGGTAAAATTCAACCTTTATTAACACTGCTGTTTGGATTTTTTTCCGTGAAGTGAGGAGAAATGAAATAATTTTACAGTGAATTAGGAAACTTCAAAAGCATTCAAAAGGATCTTAACAGGCTGGTCCTTGTAGTTGCCATACTGTTTCAAGAATTCTACATTGCCTTAATTATTCCCTTACCCATGTTTTCCATTTCTAGCTGTACAGCTGTTATAGATCCTGAGCTTTTTCCCATGTTATTTAGGTAGTATCTATTCCTATATGATTGTTGGCTCATGTCAGTATTTAAATATAATATCAGGAAAGTTTGATTGTTTTTTACAAGACAAGCAAGACTTGTAAATCATGAAGATTTGCAGTAGAATTGTTATACTGCTTTGTTATTAGCTGAAATAATTTCTTTCCTGTTCTAGAATGGTTTCAATCCCTAAATGGGACACTTTGGTCAGCTTTTAAATTACCTTATTTTCTAAGATCAGGTGTACATGTCTTCCTCATTTCCTGGTATTTTTGTATTTTTAAGATCACTGTCTGAAAAGGTGTACTACTAAAATGTGGCTGTAGAAGCAATAGTGAAAAAATAAAAAGCTAGTTTTAGAGGGTAATTCTTGCTCTTATCTATGGAATAAAATACATGCAATATATAAAATACATTGCATTAAACAAATTCAAATTGAAAAATAAATTTATGGTATATATTTTGTTCTTAGGCACAGTCAGATGAAAAAGCCGTTATTGCAAAACTGCATCAACATATCACAGCCCTTCAAGGTAGTGAATCTGTTGCTGTAGGCAAACTGGAGACACTTAAGTCAAAACTACAAAAGATGGAGATCCAGAATCTACGTTTAGAGCAGAAGCTTGATGAGAGAGAGCAAGCCTTATATTTTGCCCGACTGGAAGGAAGAAATAGAGCCAAACATCTACAACAGACAATTCAGTCTTTGCGGCGACAGTTTAGTGGTGCTCTGCCTTTAGCTCAGCAAGAAAAATTCTCTCAAACAATGATTCAGTTACAGAATGACAAACTGAAGATCCTGGAAGAAGTTCAGCATGCCCAGCAGGAGCGTCGAATTGCAGAAAACAGAGCATTAGAGATGGAGTTAAAACAGAAAAGTTTAGAAGAGTTAATAAGTGCATTGAAGGATACAAGAGGAGCTCAGAAGGTTTGCTGTTTTACATCTTTGGATATCTTTGTTCATCTGATCTGCATTTAAATTACACCTAAATTCAGCTTGTTCCCTAAAAGTCTGTTTTAATGTAGAGCTTAATATTTTCAAAATATTTTTGGTTAGAACTTGGCAGCTATCTTTTATCCCTTATTTGTAAAAAGCAATACATCATTAGTTACATGCCCTGTAAAAGTTAGTGCAATCAGATTTGCTAATTTTCTTTTGTGTCCAATTAAGTGGTATAGGAAGTAGAGGTTAACTATAAATTTGGTTATGTTAAATAGAATTAAATTATTAATTTAATTTAATTATTAATTTAATTAAATTAAACACAGATTAGCATACTGAAGTTCTGTTCCATGAGCTGGCATTGAAACCTTCACTACAGATCCATGTCAATCCAGGGGCAATAATTGAGGCAGCGTGGTCAGAAATGTTATTATACTCATGTAATTCTATTTAATCATATTTTGCTATTGTAAACAATGTTGCCTTGAAATTTGCATAAGGCTTCCCCACCTACCTTTCAGATGACTGTGTATGAGATAACATGGTTGTATCTGTCATGACTAAAGATGACTGCATGTAAGCAATGGTTGTAGCTCTCTTGGCACGTTTTAGTTTTAACCAAGTTTTCAAATATTTTTCTGGTGCATTTTGACAGAAATAAGTCTGTTATTTTTATTACATGGGCCTTTCTAAATACATACAATTTTTAATGGTTTTGAAAGCCTTTTACGGTTTCAGAAAAGTCAGCCAAACTTCTTGCATGCCTTTTTTGTTCAGTCCGGACAGATGCATGGAGTATAGCTTAGGTCATTTGAAAATTATTTGCAATGCACTTCTGTTAGTGAAGGGGAAACTCTCCAGTTGTCTGCTGCACTTTTCAGTCATTCCTCTTGCAGTTTCATATCACTGACATGCCTCCTCACTCAAGAAGTGGAGAAGCTTAAAAAGGCAGAACCTCTTTCTTCCTGTTGGTTGGATATATTGACTCTCTGATAGAGTCAGAGTGTAGCTTCATATAGTTGCCCTGTAGGCTTGGCAAATACAATCCTATGTATCATTCATTATTAGGTAATTGAATGGCATATGAAGATGCAGGAACTCCACCTGCAGGAACTTAAACTGAATCGAGAGTTAGTCAAGCAAAAGGAAGAGGTGAAGTACTTGCGTAATATAATTTCTGAATATGAAGGTACAATCAATAATCTGGAAGAAGAAATTGTACAGCAGAACAAGGTATGTATTTTTGCATGCTATTATAAAAACAGCCTATTCCTTATTTCACTGAGAGATTTTAAAAAGGGAGACTCTTCTTAGTAAGTTTTTTACATAGATAGTTTCGTAATTCTTTTTAATAACACATTTAAGTATTTTATGTTTTGGTATATATATATGTGGCGTTTTTTCCTAAATTGGTTATAAAATTCCCATTGCCCTCAATAAATAAAACGCCTTTATCAAACATTTGTTACAGTTTCATGAAGAAAGGCAAATGGCTTGGGACCAGAGGGAAGTAGAACTTCAGCGCCAATTAGACCTATATGATCATCAACAAAATGAAATACTTAGTACAGCACTAAAGGTACATGCACTGAATTAACTAAAAATAGACTCATAAGAACATTTTTTGGAGCTGTCAAATTACATGAATTTGAATCTCTCTGTGCAGTTAGAAGAGGCTACCGGATCAGTTCCAGACCCTAGTTTGCCACTCCCACAACAACTTGAATTTGCTTTGAGAAAGATTCAGGAGCATATTCGAACAATCCTGGAAACTAGGGCAACCTGCAAATCCCTGGAGGAGGTAATTAAATGCACAGATTATCATATAAAGGGTCAAAGTTTGTATTTCTGTGCCCTTTACATTTTTTTTAATATAATACATATCTTCTTACAAACGTCACTCAGATGTGTCAAATCTCTTACAAGTGTTAAACACAGAGAAAATGTAAATTAAATAATCATACCATGATTAAAATTAAATATTCTTTCCATTGAAAGAAATAGGGAAAATACTTTAATATTTTAGAACGTTCATTTTGTAGGATAAGATAATCTTGCTGTACAAAATTCAGTTGACTATAGTTAGTTAAATATAGCGAGTGTTACATTACATTTAACAAGTAATATAGTAAAACCTTTTTTTCATGGATTGCTGAATTGAAATGCTATTACAGAAAATATGTTTAGATTCTCAAGAGATTTGAAAACCACCATCTTCTTAATTTGGTAGTACAAAGTAAGTTGCAAAAGCATCTTGTGGCAAGCAAATAATACACAAAGACAAGGTAGTGATATACTGGGACTTTTTTATCCAGTATTAATCCCATAGGGCCAGAACTGAGTGTAAAACATTTTGTGTTTATATGTTCATTTAGATAAATCTTTCTGGGAAATTTTTTTAAAAGTATGTTTTGTAGTGTTTGAATTTTGAAAATGCAACAATCATTTTTCATTGTAGAAATTACAAGAAAAGGAAACTGCTCTATGGAAAGCTGAACAAAATGTTTTATCAAGAGACAAAGTTATAAATGAACTGAGACTTCGATTACCTGCAACATCAGAAAGAGAGAAGATCATGGCTGAATTAGGCAAACAAGAAGATGATCGAGAGCACCATCATGCCATCAAAATTGCTCATCAAAGTATTGCAAATATGCAAGCAAGATTAAATCATAAGGAGGAAGTATTAAAAAGATACCAGCATTTGCTTGCTAAAGCAAGAGAGGTAGTTGAACTCTGTGCATATTTTTCTTCCATTTGAAGTTGTTTCATTGTGTATCTTATTGCTACTGAAATCTTTAAAAGTTTCTCACTTCAGAGGTAACAGAGCAGAGACAATTAGTAATTTTTTTAAGTAGAAGTTCAAGTCAAGAAGGTATCTATATGATGTCTCTCTAGGAATTAAATTAATGTGAAAGGAAGAAAAAGAAAATTTTATTTTGAGAAGTGGTCTCAGTATTTTGTGTATTTATATGGGATTTTCCAGTACTTGCACCAATGATCTAAGAACTGCATCTTTTAGTGAACTTGGAAGGTACATGAAAGGTGTGCATTTATAGAAAATACACTACTTAAAGCATATTTAAAATTAAAGCAAATTTTAAAGGATAAACAGTGTATCTGAGCATACTTTATATTATTTAACCTTATGTTATTCTTTATACCCTTAAAGCATTTTTTAAAGCCTAGATTGTATCTAAGAGGTACTTCAAGACTAAACATACATCAGTTTTAGTGTGTTTGGATCAGGAGCACATTTCCGAAGCAGACTTGCTATCATCGTCATTTACTGTTCTTTGATTAACATGTGCAGCTATTTCTTCTGGGAGAAATTAAGGTTCTTTGTTTGTAGCAAAACCAGAAAATGCAGTCTGAAAATGAGCCTGCTGTGCTCTATCTGCTAACAAACATACAATCCACAGGATCACACTATAGTCCAAAGTAAATAGACCTGAACAGTACATAGTATGGATATCACTATCCATATCGATAGTCATAGTTGGTGTGGACCAATACCAACTCTTTTGCTCTCCAGCTCATGTCCTTTTGCAACATACTACTTGCTATATAGCTTAAACTGCAACCATAGTTGTTGGGTTTTTATTTTCCAATAGTGTTAAAAAGGAAAAAAATAATAAATCATTTATTATAGTAAGAAGAGAAGAATTTTTTAAACTACCAGAATTAGGGGAAAAATTTGGGATCAATACGGACCAATGAGTGAGCAATCAATGTGTGATTGTACTGTAGTTTCATGACTTTCTGGAATAGTGTACATCAATAGAGTTTTTTTTTTATTTTGAACTAACAGGAACAAGAGGAAATAGCAAAGAAGCATGAGGAAGAGCTTAGAGTTCTACACCAGAAGTTAAATCTGCATACAGACAATTCCCTTAATAAATTCAAACAGACTGCTTTGGTAAGTTATGTGTATTTATGGGATTTGTGAAATTGTTCCTAAATTTTTTAAACAGTTTTGCGGTCAAAAGAGAGTAAGAAATTATTACAGGAACAATAAATGGATGGTTGATACAGAATTACTGTATTATTCTTGAGAGAATTTTCAAGAGATGGATTAGAATTTAAATGTAGAAAGCAAAAGTTGAGTTGCCACCTCAATATATGAGCATTTTTCATACCATCCTAATTTATGGAGACTCCTAGGAGAGGGATATTTTGGTTTCCATTCTTCTCATTCAATCTTTAGTAATGTTAAACTAACCCATTTAATACAAATTTTCTCTTGACACTTTATGAAAAGGTGAAACCTGTATTGAACTGGTTATCTGTGGAGCATTAGATGCACAAAGTTCCTTAAAACCAGTGTTACTGCTTTCTGTGTGGACTAAGAAGGAACACATCTCAATAAATAAACATGTTAGATATTAATGCTTGGTTATGTTCAGGATTCAGTTTAAAATGCATTTTACCTTTGATTTAAAGCTTAAAATATCACATGCATTTCTTCTGTTTTACAGGAGTTAATGAAAAAGACTTCTTTATCACTCTCCAACAACAATCATTTTCTTCGCTTAGCTGAAATGGAGCAAACTGTAGCAGAGCAGGATAATTCTCTTGCTTCACTGGTTGGAAAATTAAAGAAAACATCAGCTGATTTGGAAAAACAAAAACAAATTACTTTAATGAAAATCAAAGAGTTTGAGACTATCAGAGCCCAGTAAGTTTTTATCCTGTTACAAGTAAGTCACAATTGAACTGGATCAGGTCAATTATGTATTGCTGCTACAACACTGGTCTATGAAAATCAAATACATTTTTTCTGAATTTAAGATTTGGCTGAAAAAACTATATCAAAAGAGTTAACTATGATTGGTAATTGTAAATTATTTTTAATCTGTAGACCTTCATTGGGACTAAAATTGAAAAACTGTGGCCTGGAAAAACGCCTTTCAGTTGTTAGCTTTGTGCCATTCAATGAAAAAGAAAGTACTCAAGAAGTCTTGGTATGAGAGTTGTCTTTAAGCTACTTGCTGGTTTGTGGTTTGTGTTGTTTTTTTCCTTTGATGCATCCATTTGGGCTTGCTGCCTAAAAAATGTGAACTCATTAGAATTTAACCACTGCTTAAAAAAGGAAAAGTACGATGCTTTCTTTACCTTTTAGGGCCAGGAATTAGCATGAACAGTGCTTTAATGTAATTTTGCTGATCTTAAGTAATTTTCTTATTCCATGATGGTGTTTCTTGTTTTGTCAGGTTTTTTTTCAGTGTTTCCAAATCTGCGTGTCATTTGCTTTAACAATCATAAAAACTATAACATTGTGCCCTTTGTTATTTATTTAGAGTTTGCTAACTTAATTATTGCAGTGTACCCTATTAATGTTTATTTTTTATTAGCCTTCAGGAAAAGCACACAGTTGATACAGAACAACTCAAAGATGAAGCAAATGAATTGAGGAACATGTTATCTCAGATGGAGAAGGAATTAGCAAACGTAAAAGCTGAATTAGAGGTCCAAAAAGAAGCAAATAATAAAGCACCCACAGCAACACTGAGAAACCTGGTGGAACAGCTGAAGACCCAGTTAGCCATAAAGGAAAAGCAACAGAAAGTTAGTCAACAAAAATTAATCCCTGTATCACATGAATGTTTAATGTTGCTTAATGCTTAAGAATTCTATGTATAACACAGCAGGAGGTATAATATAATTGCATAATATAATATAGTAAAATATAATTGCCTTTTCTTGTTTTGTAGTGTTCATATTAGCAGCTTCTTCACTTAAAAGAACTTGAATTTTTTCTTTTCAGGCTTTGAGCAAAGCACTTCTGGAACTCCGAGCAGAAATGACTGCTAATGCTGAACAGCAGATTATTTCTGCTGCATCACAAAAAGAAGCATATATGAATGTCCAGGAGATTGTTGACAGACAAACAAAGGGGCTTACTGTGAGTGCTAGGCAATAAAATTATAGTGGGTTGTTGTATTGTGGATAATCCTGATGTTGGGGTTATGCTGTTTTGTTTGTTTGCTCTCTTCTAGGCACAGATAGAGGAATTAAATAATCAGATTACAAAACTTACAGATAACCTTAAAATAAGTAAAACCAAGGAGAGTTCTTTGTCTGATGAAAGGGATGAGTTGAACCAAGAACTTCAGAGAAAACAAAAAACATTTGCTAAAATGTTGAGAGAAAAAAATGAAATGGAAAAAGAAAATGAAGAACTGAAGAAACGGATTAAGAGGCTAAGCAGTAGCATTCAGGTAGAAGTTATTTTTAAAAACGTGTTTGATCTTGGTCAGTTTTCTGCATCAATGTGTTGGGTTTGGGTGGAAAGATTAAGTACATTTGGCAGGCATTGAGACTTGATTAAAAAATTTGTATTTGCTCATCAGCTGGGTTACATGTGAGCTCTTAGTTTTTGCTGTTGGAAGCATGTCTCAGATAAAAGGAAGAGACTTAAAAACACTTGCTACTTGATACATGTTTGAAAGAGTCTGAGGAGTTGAATTACCACTTTCAAAGCTTCTTTGAAGAAACCAGTTCTGTCATCTTCCTTGCTGCGCTTATCTCCCCTTCCAGAAGACAAGTAAAATATTTACAGTAGAATTGTCTAAATATTTTTTAATTCAGCTAATTGCTGCTGATTATTCAGTTTAGAATGCAGTTATATTTCAATCCTTCAATAATTTAAATACAATTTTAAAAAGGTTATTTAGGCTGTAGCTTATTCTACCAATTGGAATTAAATTTCTTATTTTTTGAGTGGAGAAAAATACTTACGTAGTGATCACTATACTGCAGGTTTGTAAAACTTTGTAATTTTTCAGAGCAAAGCTGATGAACAAAATCTGATAGATGCATTTCAGAAAAAAATTAAAAAATTGGAAAGTGAACTTGAGAAGAAGTGTGAAGAAACAGAAAAAAAAGGTGTAAGAGAAGACAAGGTATGTGATATTTAGATCACAGCTTTGAAACACATTATCAGCCTAGGTCTAGGCAGTTCAGTTCTGTTTTAAAAAAAACAGCCAACCAATTAACCAACCAAGCAAACCTGATCAGAAGAAAAGCAGTTTAATGACTGTGACTTCATTCTTCCTATGCTCTTTGCTACTGCTCTTGTTGCGTTGTACTGGTATATTAATGTTTTCCTGCCCTTTTTGTGGTATTATCCATTACAAATCTTAGAAAACTAAGATTTTATAGATAGCAGTGAAATCGATTACATAAGTGCTGTAAAATATGCATTTCCAAAATCAGTGCCATGATGAAAACGTGAAGTACTTAGGAGCAAAACTGGGAATCCCAAAAGGGATTATGTCTGTGTAAGTGTAAAAGAACACATTGCACTAATACCTGTAATCTCATCACTTCTTTTTTTGTAAAATTAGTATTAAAAGCTAAGAATTTAGTAGTAGCATTAACTGCATCAGCTTTGTACACCAGTCACAAAGGCATACTGAAGGTATTCAGCTGGGCCTTACAGTAAGTAAGGTAAATAATCTATGCCTGCTATGGCTTCATGTTTTAAATCAATATAATTATTCGTTTTCTAACATGTTTGCTAATTTTGCTATAAGAGAAAAATTCAAAGATAATACATAATTTGTTTATGTGCTTCACAGACTTCCAAGGAGGAAATAATTAGGTGGGAAGAAGGTAAAAAATGGCAAATCAGAATGGAAGGATTGCGGAACAAACTAAGGGAAAAGGAAAAAGAAGCAGATGCTTTAGCCAAACAGTTGAATACATTGAAAGAAGTGTATTCCAAGTGAGTTGGTTTTAACAGATTCAGCTATACAAAATGATGGTGTAGGAAATCTAAGTATGT